TGAACCAATAAAACTATAATTTACATGAGCACCAAAAGTATTCAAGAGTCTTCATTTTATATTTCTGTGTTTTGTACTTGGTGAAAGGTTTGGACATCCCGCGTTCATGCCAGTGGGCGTCAAATGCTTCTGCAAAGCTCCCATCCAGCAGTTTCACTCACAGGAGACGCTACAGCAAAATGCACCCTCTGGCCACTGCATAGCACCAGAAATATTTGTGGACCTCAGAGTCAAACAGAAATTCTGTGTTTTCTTTCTGCATCACTTTTATTTTTTGATAATATCTACACACCGTGAGTAAGCCGCTCAGCTTCTTTCTTGCAAGGTTGCAGATTTTCCTGCCCATAGCCACTTTTTTTTTTTTTCTTTTAAATATTTTGTAGTAGAGAAGTCACAAACATTTTAACGTACAAAAGCAAGACCATACCCAGAGTTAAGTACAAATTCTTAACGGGCTTGTGTACTTGGAAGCGTTGTGGACAACTCCTTCTTCCTCAGGACTGGCTTTGAAGAAGATCTTCCTATAGAGCCATGAGCTCAAATATGCTTCTCTATCAGCTCTCCACTCAGCTCAAGAGAAACAAAAGAGGCAAAAAGGGAGCTTTGCTGGGGAAAAAAAAACATACAGGGGGAGATGCTTATCTCAGCCACCTATTCCAGCCCTACCAGGAGTTTCTTCGAGCTCTTCACCCATGGGAAAATCCCAACCAGGCAGGAGAAGGCCAGATTCCACCTCCCTTGTGCCTCAGAGAGGAACAAAAGAGATGAGGCACTGTACCAGGGCCGGTCTTTGAGACGGAGGATCTTAGAAGAGCTGCGGCGACCACACTTCTTCACCACCTCCACTGGAATATGAGGGATTTTTCAGATTTCAAGGAACAGACACGGGCGCGTAATTCCCTTTCTTTTTCCAGCACGAAGTGTGATGATGATGGGATGAGCATGTTTCTAGGATCAAAGCGTGATGGAAACACTCATCAGCTACATTCTTATTCTCTCGGCTTCCATTAACATGTGCTTTGGGGAAAAGAGAGAACTAGACTACAGAAAATGCATCTCATACAACCATATAAAAGGACTTAAACTTAGGTAGCGTGTATCAGATCAAATGCATTTCTTGATGTGTTCCTGCCACCTGGTTCAAATGTGATAAGAAGATAATAAATACTAAAATACAAAAGACTATTTCTGTGGTAACGCTTATGCAGATGAAACCAAGAAATAAAACAACTCTTGAATCCTTCTCACTTTTTCATATCTTCCAACATTTTCTACTCCAAATCCAGCTCAGACAGCTTTCTCCTAAAAAACTGGTTTTTTGGATTCTAGTGCAAAAAAAAAAATAAAATCCACATTTCTGACAAATCAGCAGCATTCTTGCCTTGAACTGAAGAAAAAGGAGATTAACATCCATAGATCTTAGTGCATCTAGGGCTTAGTATGATGTCAGATCTCAAATTTCCAAATATTGCCTCAGCAAATACCGATATTCAGTCTTGTTAATATTTTCCAAGTGCAAGTCCAAGGCATTTCAGTGTTTCCATGATGCTTTGATTTTTGTGTCTTTGAGTGTGCAGTTCACCAGCGTTGTGTCTAGTCAGAATCTGTAGCAAATCTGAAAAACATTGATTCATTTTTATAGATGAGCAAAAGACTTCCCACGTCCTAGGGCTGCAGGCAGCTGCCCCAAACCGTGTGTTTTCAGCAACCGCAAGGAAAAGCAAAATTCTTTGTCTAATACTTTTACTCCCAAACTGGCTTCATTAGATTTATGAAATAGATACAGCACCTCTGAAATCGTGGCATAAGCAAGAGACACATCATAAATTCAGTTCTGCCCAACATAAGCTGGCGAGAGTCAAATGTAGTCAGTCAGCTTCCAGTCAAATCACTTCTGCAAGGCAGTAATAGGAAACTCTTGCAGAGAATTTGAAAAAACAACCAAGCGGACTAAACGGCAGAAGATACATCTGCAAAATATCTACTCATCTGATGCCTCGGTTTGCAATTGCCGTGAGAGAAATGATTGTTTGTGTGCTTAAAGCATTCAGTGAGGAACCGTGCAGCCTGAAGTAAGTGCCTCCGCCGCCGTCGGTCGCTGTGCACGTACGTACCCCCTGCGTCTGGGAGCTGATGCAAAGGCATACGGGTGACCTCCCCTAGACCCCTGCGACCTGGAGTCCAGGAAACGTGGGAGTCCTCCATCTTCGAGTAGTTCAGCCCGCTGCCTCCCCACAGGCATATTCAGACCTTCTCCGCCGGAGCCTCATGCCCTGCGAGGCTTCGCAAGCCCCAGGGCAGCCCTGTGGGAAGGGCTGGATGTCCCTCGGCAGGGGGCGGCCCCCCCTGCCCTGAGCTGATGTGGGACCCTATGGATGCTCGTGGGCCTCTTCCCTCACTCTCGAGTTTGGTTGACAATAGGACTGTGAAACTGCAGATGAAAACCAAAGGAAACTAATCCATTGAGTTCTTTAATTAGTGTAACAAGTAGCTTTTTCTGTTATCTCAATTATCTCTCTCTAGCAGGACGTGGCATACTACACTGATGGAGAGGATGTGGTGTAGGCCAGGGGGGACAGAGGAGGTGAAGAAGGTCAGACATTTGGTATACAAGATGACTTGCCTGCACGAGTAGATCATCTTGAGGAATAGATTTACAGTGGGGAATCGATAATCAACTGTGATTTTGGCAAAGAGCCCTTCTGCCAACCACTCAAACCTGTCCAGGTGTCCATGGCAAGGTGTGTGCTTGTCTTCAAGTATGTACAGTTCCACGCTTGCCTCGCTCGTACAGCTCACATCAGGAACAGGGGGCTCTGAACACTGTTTGCTTTATGAATTCTGAGGCAGAAACCCTCAATGTCTGAGGATGCAGGGCAGGAGTGGCTGCTTTCTGCCAAGTGGAAAGAAAACACCATTATCTCTGTGCACAGCACCTCTTTCTTCAGGAATGTGTGTCTCATGAAGATGAAGTGTTGGGAATGGGCAGACCAATTCCATACCACGTATCACCACAACTATATGATTTTGTTCCCCATTAGCATGAAGTAATGCCAAACTGTAGGCTAGGAATGACCCAAAGGCATTTGTGAAGCTACTTTACCCTTCAGTGAGGAAGAATTCTTCCAATCCTGCCACACCAGCCAGCACACAACCCCTTCTTTGAAGGGTGTTTGCTGACAGTGGTCAGCCAGGAGCCCATTCGCAAGATCTGCAGTTCCGCAGCGGTATTTTCTGTCTGAGCTCGGGCATCTGCTTAGTAGCATGGCTATTACAAAACTTAGAGCGTTGCCTTCAGGAACCTGACTAGGACAGCTTTATATGCTTGAGTCTCTGCTACGATACTTATCAGAGAATCCTAGAATTGTAGAATCGTAGAAAGGTTGGAAGGGACCTCAAGCATCAGCTGGTCCAACCTTTCCAGGCAAGAGCACGGTCTAGATAAGATGGCCCAGCACCCTGTCCAGCTGCATCTTGAAAGTGTCCAATGTGTCGGAGTCAACCTCTCCTCTGGAGAGATTATTCCAATGGTTGACTGTTCTCATGGGGAAACATTTCCCTCTCATGTCCAATCGGAATCATGTCCAATCGGAATTATTGAGGCAGAAGTACAGCAGCAGAGCCAAAGCTCTTGCGCTCTAGGCCACTACCCTGATTTTACATAACTCCATGACCTGCTGCAGGACAAGCCAAGCCATAATCAGTGTCAAAGTTCTAATAAGAATAAAGATACGATTCTATATTTTTGGAGGGACTAGAACTGCCCCAGTGCATCTGCCATGGGAAGACAGGCACTGGGCTGCCATTCAAGTGCTTCCCTGCCATAAATCATACCTGATATTTAAAAGCAGTTTTACATATTTGTATAAGAAAGCTGATCTTATCTGGCTCATCCTCCCAACACCCTCCCAAGGCATGCAGACAAGCCTCACTCTTCTAGCTTCATGGAAAAGTAAGGAAACAAGGTTTGGGTGAGACGGAGAGCTCATTTCTCCCCAACGCTCTGCATTTTATAATTGTCCACAGACTGACAGCGTTTGCTTGCAGAGCTCAGCACACACCAGGGCTTCACATCACCAAGACAGGAATGACAGCACACATAATATCAGGTGGTGCTACTGGGAAGACTAAAGGCAAAGTAACTCCTGTTTCCAGTCTGTTTTCCCCCCAGAGGAGCCTGTACCTGCCCACAGCTGGTTGTAGCTCCCTTCCCATCCTCTCTACGGGTCTCCCACTTTTGATTCAATCAACTAAAAAAATCTCCAGAAGTTAGAACTAAAAATTCCCAGGACTTTTACGTGCATCTCTCCTGGAAGCAGCCCTGGCGATCTACAAATTATGGCATCTTCATGGACACACGCTCTGTAGTGCAAGGTGCACACCAAGCACCAGTTCAAGCAGTAACCTTGTGTCGTCTTACACGAACTTCTATAAATAATCCTGGATGTTCACGCTGCTGTTACGAGATACAAGATAAATGCTGTCTGCTTCCTGTTGAGACACAGAATGGATTATGGCTCATCAGCAACATGGCTCAGGCAACCAAAGGAGCGAAAGGGCTGGCAAGAGAAGGCAAAGCGCTTGGCTAACGCACCACCTCGACTGCCATGCTGGCCTTTTGTCCTGCCTCATGTTCAGGCTTTAACAATCAACGATGCTTACAAATGAGCAATGTGTCCAAACTGTTTCTGCTATCTTCCCCATCCCTGAAACCATTCCAGGCCAGGTTGGACGGGGCTGTGAGCAATCTGATCTGGTTAAAGGTGTCCCTGCTCCCTGCAGGGGGGTTGGGCTGGGTGACCTCTAGGGGTCCCTTCCCACCCAAACCATTCTGTGATTCTATGATTCTATCTTAAATCGAGTAGTGTAGCAATACATGAAACAACCCTAAGCTG